GGCTCTAATAAATCTTAAGCTTTCAGGTGGTGACTCCCTAAGAAACATTCCTAGCAACAGCTTCCTTCAGCATTCTGGCAGTTGGTCTGCCCATAGTTTAATTTTGTCCTTAACTTCCCAGGTGGGGGAAGTAAGCAGCATTTGGGTTTCTAATGGTCTCTATTCTGTGGTCAACAAGTCATTGCGCGCAGAATCAGAGGCATCATGCAGATTTTTTATTATAACACACAGTTATCTAAAAACCCCACCACCTGTTGCTAGCAGGGACAGGCATACAGGAGGAGACAGGAGATCCGGCCACAGTCGCCTCTGCTGTGCAGTTGCGTCTCACGCGACCCGACTGTGTCAAAGGTCAGCTGTTGGTCGGCTCCCTACAATAAATGTCTTCTTGAACTTGCCCTTCTTATTCAACATGGTATTTCTAAGACTCACCCATGTTGTTTTGTGTAGCTGTAATTCATTTATGTTCATGGCCGTATACTATTCTGTAGCACGGCTGCCCGGGCGGCCGCCATCTTTGGTAGACCACCCTCTTAAGCCGGAGCAGCAATCGTTTTATCAGCGCGCCGACTTCCGCATTCTGCTTCGGTAACCGCTTCCGGCCGGAAACTGCGCTCCTCCCCTCTCCAGCCCCCGCCTTTACAGTGAGTATATAAGCAAGCCCCAGACTGGGCTTGCGGCCTAGAATTTGGAATTTATCTCCCCTGAGTCCGCATGCGAGAATAAAACCCCACTTCGCAAACTCTGGCCCGTCTTTTCCGTAACGTGTGGGCAGCGACTCGCCAGCAGACTGTTGCCTGCGGTGAAGGCGGCCTCGGGGAGGCTGGTGGGGCCCCGCGGTGATAAGGAAGCGCGCGAGCCCGGGTGATTTTGGGTCCTGAACATCCCGGGCTCTGCAGGTTTGGCCTCCGGAGCGATCCTTGCCACGGGCTGGTGGAATGCGAACTGGTGGAATATGGGAAGGCGCCAATCTGGTAAGTGCCCTGGGGACCAGGAGCCCGAGACCAGGCCCACCCTTTGTGGTGGAAGGAGGGACTGCTCATTCCTCAGGCCGGAAGGCCCAGGCAGGGCTCCCACAGGTCGGGCGGGTGGGAACGTGATAAACTCGGTGTGTTTGTGTGCATGACTGTGTTTGTTGCTCCACGGGCGGAAGCCTACGGAGCGTGAGTGAGCCTTAACCTGCGCTTCCTCGGTCTGTCATACAGCATAACGGCTGGGAGTTTAACCGGAATTCTACAGGGGTAGCCTTAGCTAAGACAGAACCTAAGTGACCCGAGAGGGGAGAGGCCAGGCGGGAAACCTGAGAGTCCCTTCCCTTGTCTGTCAGCGCCGATGGGGAGAATTCATCATGGTTTGGGGGGGGGGGGCGGTTCTGCCAGAGTACTAAATTGCGTGTATGTTGGAGATCGGACAGCAAGCCATATGGGTGCACCACCATTTTGGGTAAAATGGAGGATGAGCCACATGAGTGCCTCACCATGGAGGACTGAGTGTGCATAGGCACTGCCATCTTAGCTGACCCAGTATGGGCGCGTGCCGCCATCTTGGACAACTCCGCATGCTTGGGCGTTGCCATCTTGGATGACGGGTCATGTGAGAGCCTCTCCATCTTGGAACTAGGCAAGGTGCCAGACTAAGGGCTCTCTTCAGATTATAGGCTGTATGCTGCTGCGGTGTGGGCACTGTATCAGTCAGGTTCTCTGTGTAACTGGTCTGATAGAGATGGCTCTGGTTCTGAAGGTCATGAACAGAGGTCCAAGGGTGAGCATCTGACCTATAGGGTGTTTGCAGGGTCTGAACCTCAGAAAGCTGCAGGATGCCCCTGCAAATCTAGGGAATTTTAGTGGAAGGTACCTGCAGTGCCAGGGACTTTCGGCTGCCGCATGCTGAGTTTAAGTATAGTCCTTCCCAGTGCGGGAAAGGAATCAGGATTAAAAGAGATTAATGGTTAAATTTGGATGAGTAAAATATGTAGAAAGGATGTGAAAGTTTTAAACCTGGAATAAAGGAAAACTCAACTACCTGTTTTGTGGTGTTGTGGGAAAAGAGCAAATTTCTCACGTTTGGTTCTGTTTCTGATCAGAAGCCTGTATCTGAAGACCTAAGAAAGGTCACCTGTTACCCATTGGGGGGCATGCTTTTGCCACTCAGGACCCGGGAAGGGTCATTTGGGGCTGACGAGTGCTTCAGCCAGAGGCAAAGGAGCATGTCTCTGCCATGAGACCGGACCCGAAGGAGCATGTCTCTGCAAGGCACTGATGGACGCATTGGTGCAAGAGAATGCCTCTATCTGTGTATTGTTCTGTAACTCTGTGTTTTGGATTTTGCTCTGTATCTGCTATGAAAAGGAAATTGAGGATTCCAGGGAAAGTTGAAACTTCACACTCTAGGAAAGTAAATGGGAAACTGTAAAGATAAATGGAAAAGTGAAAGTTTTAGGAAGGAATTATGTGGTGTTAGTAATTGAAGGTATAAGGCATGGAGATGCAATCTTGGTGGATATCAGAAGGTGTATGAAAAATAATAGAGGGTTTGTGAATATTGCAGAAGGTCTGTGGAAGTGAAAGTTTTGAGAAGCTGGTGTATATCAGAAGGGAAAGGATTTTCCTTCAGGCTTTGTATTTTTCTCCCTACCTGATCCCTCCAGAATTTGGCATTCAAAAGGAGTGGGTGATGACATAAGGTTTCTTTGTATAAAACCAGTAAGACCAGTTGCTAACAGTGGTTTTGTTAACCAAGACTTTGGAACGTCACGTCTGATGGAGGCATGTATGTGTTCTGGTTGTCACCAGAAAGCCCTGAGGAACTGGGATTGACTTGTGAAGCTAGTGAAAGCCCACAAGAAAAGCCTGGTACTTTGGCTGGTTGTGTGGTTCATGGCACTCTTTCCAGGGAGGGAACGAAGGTTGCTTTTCTGAAAGATGGCCAGAAAGGAACCTGTAGGCACAGTGGAAGCTTCAAGGATTTGAGTGAAACAACCGGTACAGGTGAAGCCAGATGACGGATGCATGGCTCTGCTTCTGTGCCCCGAGGGGCGGACTCTAAAGCCAAAATCTAAAAGTTCCCTGTGTGAGTTCCAGCAAAGCAGACTTAAAGATCATAAGTGATCCAGGCTGCTCTTGGTGTGTTTATGCAAACGAACAGTCAACATTAAAAGCTGGACTCAGCGTAGTCCCTTTAATAACAGTGAGGGTGATCTTAAGGAGAAAAATTGTGGTTCAAGGAAAATCACAATGCTCAGTATTGGACATCAGAATGGCACAGCTAATTGTCTTGAGAGTTTGTTTTCATTTGAAAGTTGAAACTTGAGTTTGTAATATCACCAAAGATGTATGATTTACAGGTGTGGACGACCTGTCAAATTGCCATTGCTAAATGTCATTGCAGAAAGGACCTTGCAACTTAACGTCTTCCCAAAAGACAGTCTCACAGGCACAGAGACTGGTTTGGGGACTATTGTGTGAATTAATCTGTGTGCTCTTCTGTTTTCATAGGGCGTATGCCTATGACTTCATTACCTGAGTGATTGGTTGCAATATAGGCCTCACTTAAGGAGCCCGTTTTTCATCATCGCCCCCTGAAACTCAACAGTTTGGCTGAACTAAGTGGCTGGGTTGGTGAACGGTTTGGGTGATCTGTGGGCTTCACTTTAGAACTAATTTTGCCTTTTCTGCCTCGATGGCTTGGACAGAAAGGGCCCAGGTATCTGAAAGGAGGGAAATCCTAACATTCCCCTCAGCCCGAGTGAAGTATAATGGGCCACAAGAGTTTTGGATAGGTGTAGCACGCCTTGTACACCTTCCTCCAAATAAGCTATTCTTTACTTAAGTTCCTGCCTTTGTCATTTAGTGGTTATGATTTAATTGTGCCTTCGAGCCCTTTCCAAATCTGTCATCTCCAGAATATGACCAGGATGCCAATGGCCCAGTAATGCCAGCCTTTGGATACCAAGCCTGCGACTTCCTGGTGACAGCCAACTGACCAGGATTCTGTAAGGTCCTTCCCCTTACAGGAAGGACTCCCTCTGTGCTGCACCCCCCCTCCCCTTCAGGGCACCCCTGACCCACCGGTAGGTAGGACGATGTCCATGTCCAGCCAGAAGTAGTTACAAGAAGATAAGACCTTCGTCCATTGTCCTTTAAAAGAATTTAAAGTGGGTGTATATTTGAAAGGAGGGATTGTTAGAGGGTGCAGCCAAGGGGGGGACCCCAAATGGGCATTTAAAATGGGGTCCAGAACTCAAGGTGTCCAGGAGATTTTAAGATGTCTTCACCCCTTCCCCCACAGGTGTGAGTTGGGGGAAGGGACACACGGAGCAAGAACATGCAGGGTCATTTTGTACAGCAACAGCTTTACAGCTAATCCATGGCATAGTCCTTTGACATACTTATAGCCTTTGGCTGGTCACTTAGATATGCTGAATAGCTATGGCCATGCTCTGGGCCGGGGGATGGAAAGAGACTCCCCCCCTGCCCAAGATGTGACTGGGGGGCAGGTCCCCCAAGTTACAGCGCCTGCGTGGGAGCTTGGAGAAGATTGGCTCAATGATATGGGGCCACACTTGCCCAACTACTCCTTAACTGTTAAGGAGTTGAAATGACATTTGACCCTTTGAAGGCAACTGCAAGGCTGATGTGGCTGCCGGTGAAAATGAGTTTGACACCCCTGCCCTAGGGTGTAAATGGGGAGCGTGATCTCTGGATCTCAGGCAACCGTTTCCCAAGGCGGCTGGCTGGCGTTTCTGTCCATCAGCGGTGTACACCAGTTCCTGTGGGCGCAGGCGCCTTTCAGCCTAGGCGTTGTCAGATTTCTTCACTTTGCCCATTGGTCTGGTGGATTGGTCTCTACTGAGAGGCACAGGCGCAGGGGTTCCTCCTCTCTCCGCCGGGCGGCGCCCTGCCTCAGAATCGCAGCCTCGGCCTCAGAACAGCAGTCGCGGCCTCAGCAGCTTGGCTGGCACCGTGGAAAAGCCTCCCTTCCCTGTGGGTTTGTTTTGCCAGGAGTACATGCACCACCTGCTCCGCCTGGAGCGCCGAGCGGAGGAGCAGTTCCTGGAGCACTGGCTGAACCCGCACTGCAAGCCCCACTGTGACAGGAACGTGGTGCACCCCGTGTAGGGCTCGGGACCAGCCTCCGGTACGTTCCTTTTCCCAGGCCTTCGGTGTCCAGCGGTGGACACCTGTGCGAGGGCCCAGGGGCCTTCCAGCATGGGACGGCAGGGGAAGCAGCTAGTTGGCTGGATATGGGTTGGAGGGATGGAAGAGCGAGGCGGAAGACTTCGGTGGCTGTTGGGCTGAGAGGGACCAGGGGACACCCAGGGGCGCCTGGCTCTCATTAGGAGATCCCAAGTCAGGGAGAGATGTGACCCTAATTGCTGTCCAGAAAGGTCACCCTGGAATACAGATCTGGACAAATGTACCTTGTGGAGTCTTGGGTCTGTTCAGGTGGAGTCAGCACTCCTGGGCTCAACTGGAAGCCTGCGTCACAATCCTCACCACTGTCACGGGGAGCAGTGACCTCCTTACCGCCATCTCCTAGCCCTCCAGGCTGGGGACGTGCTTGCCCTTTTGCTCTTCCTCTGGGCTTGGTTCTGCAGCCCCAGGCAGGAACCGGACTGCTCAGCATTCCCCACGTCTGCTCCCTCCCCCAGCACTGTGTGCCTGCAGGATGCAGTTGGCTTCTCCCCTCCCCCTTTCCAAATCCTATTAGATGGAGCAGCAAATCCCTTCTGAGGTTAAGCCTAGTGAATGTCATTCCTCCTCTATAACACGTGTGGACAAAGCAGGACAGGAGAGAATGCGGCAGTTTGTCATCCCTGGTTAAGGGGAATCTCACGTCCTTGGTCTTCTGTGCTACTGTGAATTAACACGGGAACACTCCCTTCAGAGTATCACTGTCATTTTCAGGGTGCTATCACCTAAATTCTCTCATTTGGTCCTCTTGAGACCCCTGTGTCATTTCAGGGCATGCATTCTAACCCCGTTTCACAGTGGCGCTAACTAAGCCTGACAATGCTACTGACTTGTGCTGGGCGGTTGGTGTGTGAGTCTTCTGGCCACTCCAGTTCTGTGTGCTCTGTGTGGACGGTACTGCAGGGTCCTGTGCATGGGTATTGATGGGCACAGAAGTTCTGCTTTGGAGGCGTGGCGGTGGGCTGACATCCCTGTTCTCGCTCTTCCGGCCTCTGGAGCCTGTTCTCGGGCAGAGCTTGCCGACACCCTGCACCAGGAACCTTGGTCCTCCAGCGCTGGAAGTGCTCGCTTGGCTTCCTCAGAAACAACTGTGGAGCAGTTAGGAGCTTGGACTCCGGATTCAGGCAGACTCTCTGTGTTCCTGCTCTGTGAGGCCTTGGGCAAGTCACCTGACTTCTCTGACTGTTGGGAACCACGCTGCCTGATATCAGAAGCTGTAACCCCACCAAGGCTAAGGCTGAGGGAATGGTCTTGGACTGTAAGCCAGCAAGGAGATAAAAGCTTATCTCCCTGGCAGGAGCGCTGCTTCTGCTGCTTCATTCATAACTGAACCCCAAAGCTTGGTCGGTTAGCCAAAGACGGGTAAGATTCCCCAAGGGGGGAACGATCTAAGACAGGCACGATCACGTGGGAGGCCCCCAAAAGAAGGACTTCGGGGGCTACAGCAAAAGGGGGTGATGGACCCTCGCTCCTCGGCTTTGACATAGCCTGAGTCCTCATCATCTGGGAGAAAAATCTCCTTATCTTTTAGTTGTCTTGCTTCACCTAAGCCTGAAACAATGACAGGGTGGTGCAGCCCTGTGCTGAAAAGGGTGGGTTCCCTGGGTGATCAGGCCTAAGAAAGAACAAGTAAACTCCTGTGAAACCTTCTTTGTTTAGAATGCTCCCAGTTGAATGAGAAGGGTCCAAGGAGGAAGTTAGTTCCTTAAAAGTCTTACAGCTCTTTGACTCTGACTCAAAATAGACCCCCAGACTTCCTTGTTATCTATTGTTTCATCCTTACTTCCTAGCAATGAGTAAGGAGCTTTTACCTGAATTCTTATGCAAATGAGACCAATAAAAAGCTTCTCCAGAGGGGGAACAGTGCACTCTAGCCACCAGGGAGGTGGCCAAGCAGGTGCCCTCCAGGAAGGAGGGTGGCCAAGGTGCTCCCCATGTGAGGAGTTGGCCTGCTGTTCCTATTTCCCCACAGGACCTGGTTGTTTCTGTGTATGTTTTTCTCGAGTTTCGACGAGCCATCTGCAGTGTTCCGTGATCACTGCTGGCCGCTGACCCACGCATCATGAGTCTCCATTTCTGCATCTCTAAACTGGGGCAATAATGATATTTACGGAGCCTGACGCACAGTAAATGCCTCCCTAATTGTGCAGGCCAGGCACAAGGAGCGGTTTCGGGGTTGAGTTCCATGGCAGCACCCTCCAAAGGGCAACTGAGGCCTTTGCTTCTGGGGAGGAGAGGCCTTGCTGGTGAGCTGGTGGGGCTGGCTCCTGGAGAACACAGGATTCCACAGAGGCCTCACTCCAAACAGCTCCATTTACACGAAGACAAGGAAGCTCGAGGGACGTATCCCCTTGGAATTGGGAGCCCGAAAGCATTCAGGTCGTGATTCTCCTTGGGAAGAATCACCCAATGTCTCTCCCAGTTTCCCCACCTGTAAAATGAGAATAGTGAGAGCTCCTTCCTCATGTCATGGTTCTGAGCATTGAAAAGTTGATGCACAGGCCCTGCCAGTGCGGCTCGGTTAGAGTGTTGTCCCGTACCCTGAAGTTTGGAGGTTTGATTCCATGTCAGGGTACATGCCCAGGTGGCAGATTTGGTTCCCTGTCTGGGCACATGCGAGAGGCAACTAACATGTTTGCTGATGGTTCTCTCTTGCATAGGTGTTTATTTCTCTCCCTTCTTCTTTCTCTTAAAAAAAAAAAAGGCAATGAAAAATATCCTTGGGAGAGAATAAAACAATGTCAGCACATGGAAAATAGCGCTTCCCTGGCACAGCATAGGGTGTGCTCGGGAAGCAACATCTGGGTGACTGCTTCCTCCCTCTCCTCCTCCTCCTAAGTGTCCTCTTTCTCCACCTCCCCTTCCCTCCTCTGTTCCTTTTCTTAAAAAAAAAAAAATCAGCATCGTGTTAACATAATTTTCTACCTCTTTTCGGGAAAGCCCTGCGATAAGCATCGGCCTGGATAATGCTGGGCTGGGATGAGGCTCCTTCTTTGATTTATTTTTTCAGCTGCGGAAAGGGATGTTTTTGGACCTTGTGAACTGTGGCCATGGCCAAGGCTGCTGTGGGGATTGATGGCGAATGCACGGGCTGCTTCATTCTCCTAACCTGCCAAGAGCTTCAAGTACGGACCACGCCTCCCCCCCATGGGCTTCCTACCAGGTTGGAAGGGTGGGCAGAGTGAAGATCTGGCCTGAGCTGATGGAGCTGGACTTCCAGAGTGTGGGGCCAGGCGACCTGCACTGCCTGGGGCTGTGGAGGGTTTTGGTTATCTGCTTTTTGCCTCCTCCTTTCCTGCTCTAGTAAACATCAGTGTTCAACCTGCTTTCTGTGGTGTCTCCTTTGCTTTCCCTCCAAGAACAGTAGAGATCTCCCCATTGTTTATCTGCATCAATCCAGAATCAGAAAACTCACTGCTCTTGGAATAAATGACTGAAAATACAAACACCCAGCAAATTTTCACAAGAGGCTTTTTTTTTTTTTTTTTTTTGGTAGAGATTGTTTGCTCCATGGCTCTGGAAACAGCCATGACTCATTACCAGGTGCCCACTCTGGCCTTCTAGCCAAGGAAAGTGGGTGGCAGCCTCTGTGTCCCCAGGGCTCCTTGTTCACCCACAACCCCCAGAATCAAAGCTTGGGCTACTCAAGACCAACAAGAGCGGAAATGGGAGGGCAAGGGAAAGTAGGCAGAAGGGTCTTAGGGAGAATCTGGTGTCCTCAAGAAAAGGTAAGAAGAGATGCTCACAGCTCTCGAGCAACAGGGAGGGCCTGTCCCAAGGGAGCCCAGGTGGGCTTGTCCGGGAGAAAGTTATGGAACCTAACAATGATGATACCGATATTTATTTTATGTGGGCCAGACTCTGCACTAGGATTTTTACATACAGTAAATTTAATCATTGTACCTACTCTGTGCAGTAGCTGCGGTTGTCATGCTTACTTTATAGGTGGGGAAACCAAGGTTTACAGAATTTAAACAGTGTAACAGTTTTCTATCTAGGCTATAACAAATTATTAGAAAGGTAGCAGCTTCCCCCCGTTGGATTGAGTGCTGGCCTGCAAATCAAAGGGTCACTGGTTTGATTCCCAGTCAGCGTTGCAGGCCAGGTCCCGGGGGAGTGGTGAGGAGAGTGGGGGAGATAAGAGGCAACCGCACATTGATGTTTCTCTCTTTCTCTTTCTCCCTGCTTTCCTCTCTCTCTAAAAATAAATAAAAACTTAAAAAAATTAGTGATTTAAAGCAATACAAGTTTCTCATCTTACGTTCTGGAGGCTGGAAATCCAACACGGGTCACACTGGGCTAGAATCAGGCTGTTGGTAGGGCTGTGTTCCCCTCTGGCGGTTCTAGGGATGAATCTGGTTCCTCATCTTTTCCAGCTTTTAGGGGCTTCCCGAGTTCTCAGCTCATGACTCTCCTCCTCCACCTTCAAATCAGTGATGACAGGGTGAGTCCTTCTCAGGTCATGTCTCACCCTGACGGCCTCTTCTGCTGCCTCCTCCCCCCTTTGTAAACCTTTGTGATTACACTGGGCCCATTCACGTGGGCCAGGACAATCTCAGTGTCTGAAAGTCAGTTGATGAGCAACTTGAATCCCACCTGCCACCTTAACCTCCACTGCCACGTAAGATTACGTATTTATAGGTTCCAGGCGTTAGGATGTGGGTATCTTTTGGGAGGGGGCATTATTCTGCCTACCACAGGCAGTTCATTCAAGTTCACATAGCTGGTAGGTGGAGGAGCTGGGATCTGAACCTAGGGAGGTCCTCATGCTCTGGGCCCCTCAAATGCTCTGCACCTGTGTCCTAAACCTGACGTCTTCCTGCTTTCAATGAAGTGGTTTGCTCAACTGTGTTCCAAGGACTCTGGATGTGACTTTATTGACATCCCTGCAGCCTCACCTCACGGGGGCATGAGTTATGTGCCAGACCCATTCCAATACAAAAAAATTAAACTAAGAACTCAATTTTCGTGTGGTTCAGTTTTCAGGGGGTTCAAATCTCTCACTTCTTCCCATGGAATAACATGCAGGCCCTGTTTTTTGTCCCTCCTGGTCATGTTCAGGTTCTTCTCTGGAGGTTTAACAGATGACAGCAGTTATCCGGTGCTAGCAGGGAGTGCACTGGACATGCAAGTTCCCCGGCCCTACTTAGAACCTCAGACTTCAAGCCTCTGGGGCTGAGGCCCAGCAGTCTGTGTCTTCGTGAGCCCTCCGGGCGGTTCCGAGGGGCCCGCCCGAGAGTCTGAGACCCACTGGGCTGCAGCTTCCTGCAGCTGCCTGACGCTATGGGGGACACTCAAGAATGAGAGCTGAGCGGCCTGGGGTCTGGTCCGGGTTATTAATTTCCCCCACAAACACATTGTTAGTGTCAACTGTGTGCCTCATACTGTCCTAAGGATCCGGAGATGAACAAGGTAGACAAGGCTGACTTTTTTAAAAAAGGTAAAATTTATATCACAACATTCACTACGAATTTTAAAGGGTGGAATTTAGTACAGTCAGGTGTGAAGAATGGTATTTTGATCAGTGACAGACCACATGCATGATGGTGGGGGCGTGAGATTTTAATGAGCTGAAAAGTTCCCATCGCCTGGTGACGTCATAGCAGCCTAGCTGTCTCAGGGTCACGGGGCAATGCATTCTTCTCGTGTTCGTGGCGCTGCTGGTGGAAACAAGACCACAGCACTGCTAGTTCTGTAAGAGTGTAGCATGTACAGTTCCAGTTGTGGGCTATCCCATCTACGATGTTCGCACAAGGACGAGATGGCCTAAGGCTGTGTGTCTCAGAAGGTGGATATTGTTATTAAGTCGTATGTGACTGTTGGGTAACCGTCCCCACTATCTAGTCCGAGAACATTTTATTGCCCCCAAATGACACCCTCAATTTTTTCCTTGCAGCCTGTGGCATTCACTAGTCTGCTTTCTATCTGTATGGGTTTGTCTGGTAGGGACATTAGCGTAAGTTGAATGACATAATATGTGGCTTTTTGTGTCCTGCTTTTTTCACTGAGGATTTTTATCCCCCCTCCCCCCCTGCAAAAGGCTTTGTTTCCATTTGGTCCAATGCATGGGAGAGGGCTCCAGGGTGCTTAAAAAGATACCTAGTAGTTTTTGGAAGAGGTTCAAGCAAAAGCTAGATGCTAGGGGAATGCAGAGGGGGTCCCCCCAGAGGCCAGAGGGTCTCCAAAGGCTCCTAGTCATGCTTGAGCCTTTCGAAGAGATACTCACCCAGCCCAGCCTGGGGCCTGGTCAGCCTGCAGAGGTGAGTCAGGTGGTTGCCCATCTTTTTGATGAGTTTCACCTCTTCAGGAAGTGGTTCTCTAGGAAGTCACAGAGATGAGGGTCTGCGTGGGTAGAACCCAGGGCATGCAGATCTCAAAGGGCCTGGTTCAGGTTCTTCTCCAGGGCCATGGTGGCTTCCGTGATGTCCTGAGTCTCACTCCACTCACCTTGGGGCGGCTTCCACACATCCCGGAAGAGAGCGAGGCCCTGGTGCTGGTTTTGCATCTTTAAGAGGCACTCGGCTCCTTCTCCCTTCTTGGCCAACTCACAGAAGCAGTGGTGCACACCCTCCAGAGCCGCGTTGTCCCAATTGAAATAGAAGCCCAGAGTGAGGAAGGTGTGGGAGGGCCGCAGATGCCCATTGGCCAGGCGGTGTTGGCTGGTCTTGAAGGCTGAGGATGGCTGAGGCGGTTCTGAATGTGGCGGCTAGAAAAGAGGTTGGGGGCGGTCAGACGCTGGAAGAAAAGGCATCCTTGGGTCTGTTCTGTCCAAACACTGATGATGCAAGAGACAGATCCAGGGGATCACCCATGGTGCTGCGGGCACATGCTTTAGAGAGTCATCCGTCTTGTAGCGTGTCTTTCAGTACTCCATTCCTTTGTATTCCACTATGTGGGTGCAATGGAATATTACATTCCATTATATTGTATTCCACATTTTGTTGACCCATTTGGGTTCTTTCCACCTATTGGCTGTTGTATTCATTTGGGTACATATTTTTGTTTCAAGTCCTGGTTTTCAATTCCTTTGGATATTTACCTAGGAGTAGAATTGCAGGGTTACATGGTAATTCTATGTTTAACTTTTTGAGAAGCCACCAAACTGTTCACTACAGCGGCTGCCCCATTTTACATTCCCACCAGCATTATATGAAGGTTCCAAGTTCTCCATGTCCTTGCCAACACTTGTTGTTATTATTTTTTTTAAAATTATGGCCATCCTAGTGGGTGTGAAGGGGTATCTTCCTGTGGTTTTGACTGCATTTTCCTAGTGACTAGCGATGTTGAGCATCTTTTCCTGAGCTATTGGCTATTTGTGTATCTTCTTCGGAGAAATGTCCATGTACATCCTTTCCCCATTTAAAAATTCAGTTTTTTGTTCTCGAAGGACTGATGTTTTTTGTAGTGGCTAAGAGCAGAGCTTACTGAGGGCGGAATCTTGGACAAGTCATCGAAACTGTCATGCCTCAGTTTCCTCCTCTGTCAAATGAGGATTAGAATAGAACTTAGGGTAAAGGATGGTTGTGAAGACGCAGTGACTTCCTGTGTGTGAAGATCTCAGAACTTCGCTTGGCACACAGTATGTGCGTGCTATGTAATCGATAGCCCTTGTTACACAGGAGCTGAGCCTAACAATAGTAACTAAACAAGAAATCGCCAGATTAATAACTGCTGGGAAGAAAATACGACCGTGATGCAATGGAGAGTGACTGGAAGGCTATTTTTGGTGGGGTGGACAAGGAAGGCTTTTCGGAGGAGGTGACACTTGAGCTGACACCGGAATGACAGGAAGGAGCCAACTGCGTGAAGATCCACAGACAGGAAGAACATTCCAGGCTGAGGGAACGGCTAGGCCACAGGTCTTAAGGCAGGAACAAACCCGGCCAGTTCGAGCAACTGCTTGTGAGAAGGACAGGGCCTCTGGGGTGGTGGTGGGGGGCTGGGCTTTCCTGGGGGCGGTCCTGGTTGGCAGCAAGAGCATGAACGCACGTGAGCTTTGGAGTCAGGAAGTCTGGGTGCTCAGCTGTACATATTAGCTGGGAAGCCTGGGACAAGTTACTTACCCACCTGGGAAAACCCTCTTTTCTGGTGGTATAAGTGGGGCTGGTTGTACCTACCATAGGGGGCTGCTCTGCCTTTCAAATGAGATAAAATGTGCAGGGGGATACACATTTTCGATGTGTTAATGTCAGGAATGTGGCACAGGGGATGTTCATACAGTTTAGTTGGTCATCTTGCATTGGTCAAAACGGAGT